TGCTGATGAATGATAATAATGACTTGTGAAAATATTTGTCAAGGGCCTTGATTAAAATCTGATACACCAAAATAAAAGCTAAGTAATATTCCCATTATATCAAGTTGGGAGAATCTAAGCCCCACAAAATAAGCAGTATGTGTAACGGCTAAAGACGGCTAAAGAGACACAGTAATCATACCTTCCTCAAAGAAAAACAATTTACACAAGCAGCAGCCATAGTCCTGCATTGAGTGTTGAATAAAGGACTCTGTAAAGAGTTCCAGGAAGTTTTTGGGGAATATTACAAGCACAATTACTGTAGCCTGAAGGTGAAATTAGCCCAGGCCATCTTGTGACAGGCAAACTGTGACCAATAGTGCCTACTCAGAGCAAAAAGACAGAAAAAGATATTTAGACCATAACAACTCTTAGCATCAAGAAGCATGATGTTGAGCATTAACTTTTATGTCCCTGTGGTTGAATTTTCATTGGAACACCTTATTGCAGGAGATGCTTGAACTCAAGGACTGGACATAATGCACTGTTGTTTAGTATTGAAACTGAAGGCACTTAACAATTGGGATAAGTCTCCTGTCAAAATCCTCAGTTCAGCATCTGATAGACCAATGAAGGCTCTGAGAAAGAGGGTGAGCTTGTTGAAACACCTTTAGGAACAGTGTGAAGCCTTTACACTTTTGACAAGGTAATTAAAACCTCAACAAAAAACAATTAGATTAGAAGCTATCCAGTCATGCTGAGAATACACACACAAAAAGGAGAACAGGATGTAGCACAACCAAACTTCATGAGGGAAGATGTAGGAACAACTTTCATTTAATATATGCAAAAGAAGAGAGTACTTAGGTAGCAAAACCTTTTCAGAAGGTGAGCACGCATTGTGCTCTTCAATAGAAAAACTGCTTCCATATCTTACTAAATTGAGGAACCTTAGTGCACAATTCACAAGATTTCTAAATCTGTTGAGTAGATGACTCAAATTCTGAGTATACAGGAACAGCATTTTGCTTAGTGCACTGTGTATTGCTGGTACTGAATGTCATACTGCTTTTGGCCAGTCTGGCCCTGGGAGACAATTTGAAATAATAGGGGACAGAAGGGAAGAACATGTTAGAAATGCTGGAAAATCAGACAGTAACTCTGGCATGTTCAAGTTCATTTCAAGTTTTTGTCAATTGTTAACTAAAAGTTTTTAATTAGAAAAGAGTTCACAACTCTTTCTCCAAGCACCCACCCACACTGCAGTAGCCAGAATAGTTTATGGAGCTACAATTCTTCCCAGATTATCAGCACAATTCAAAAGAAAAGAATTAATTTCTAAGGATAAGGAACCGATGTCACACCCAGGGGTTCGGTCACTTAGACCATGACACTCCCTTTGAGAAACCTGGTCCATTGGGGGCTGACAGAGGAAGAGTATCTTCAGCCACAATCTCACAAAGCTGGCCTTAGTCAGGAATGGTGCTGTCAGCAGGAGCAGGGAGGTGATCATGCCCCTATATTCGGCTTTGGTGAGGCCTCACCTTGAGTCCTGTGTCCAGTTTTGGGCCCCTCACTACAAGAGGGACATCGAGGTGCTGGAGAGGGTACAGCAGAGGGGTGCGGGAGGGGGAACAGAGGCGGCTGCCAAGCCGGGAGAGGGCTTAGAACATAAGTCTTATGAGGAAAGGCTGAGGGATCTGGGGCTGTTTAGCCTGGAGAAGAGGAGACTGAGGAGAGACCTCATCGCTCTCTACATGTAGTAAGGCCGGGGTTGGTCTGTTCTCCCTAGTGGTGAGTGATATAACAAGGTGAAATGGATTTAAATTCTACCAGGGGAGGCTCAGGTTGGCTATTAGGAAGAATTTCTATACTGAAAGGGTTGTCAGCCATTGGAACAGGCTGCCCAGGGA